GGGCGATGATGTCACCGACGAGAACAAAGTGGGCGTGGTCAGGCGTCGCTCAAAATATCTTGAAAGTGGTCCAGGGGTCGAGGTCCCCGAAAATGTTTACAAGTTAGGGGATTAAATTTTGAAAATTCAATTTCTTGGCCCTCACTAGCGCCACCCAAGCTATTGCTACCAATTTACTACAACCGCTGCTGCTGCCGCCGCCGAGTCTACTACTAAAAAAATTTTTGTCACAGGTGGGCATGAAAGCATACAATTTTTGACATTCTTTCATTAAATTTTTTTATGGTATAACAGACAAAGTGAATGGAATCTACAATTACACATTCCAATGGGATGAGGGTTACTTCTTAGTTCCACCAGACACGCTGCGTTACTCTCACAAACCAGACGACAGTACCTTTTCAATGCTTGAACAGCCGATAACTGACGTAGTCCAATGGACAAACGAGGCACGTGTGTTTCCTTCAGGCTGTTTATTTAAGGTACATTGCTGCATATAGAATGCTTTTCTTTTCAGTGATATGTAGGCCAGGCTTGATGCAATTAAAGCGTCATTCATGCCATTTTAATCAAGCAAGTTAATGCAATTGTAATTAGGGACTGGATTTAGTGCGTGAGGGACAGAGTTCGAAACCTGCCAATAGCAAGCCTGTAAATAATAATAATATCTTTATTTCGCTCCCAATTTACATATAATATACAAACGAAATAAGAGGGGGTCAGAACAAAGAAGAAACAAGTTCCTATACCCGAAGGTTTTGTCTGCCCAAACATGAGTGACTCAATAAAAAAAAAAAGGTCTTGATTAAAAATAAAATGGAAATGCTTCATAAATATTTACAAATCAAGGTGAAGCAAAAGCGTGTTCTTAAAAGAAAAAAGTGAATCGCACTGACGAATTTCAATGGGGATGGAAATGAAAATTTAAGGGCGTTACACCGTGCAAAAGGAATGGAAAGTGTTGGGAACTCCCTCCTTACATTAATCTTAAAAAGGAAGTCACTGCCTCTAAGTTTGTGAAATAAAGAGAAAAGAAGACATAGACTAAGTAGCTTTCTCCTTTTTTTAAGAGAACATAGTCGAAATTTATCTAATCGTTGTGAATAATTTAAATAATTAATATCATGGTCAGAATAATGTTGATTGGCTAAGTATCGGGTGAATTTTGTTTGGATCCTCTCAATTCTATCAATGTTGAGTTTTATATATGGATTCCAAATTGGACAGGCATATTCAAGAATTGGGCGACATAAAATAGAATATAAAAAGAAGGAAACGTTAGAGCGACCTGCAGCAGTGCGTTTAATGAAGCCAACGGTTTTAGAAGCTTTGGAACAGATGAAATGAATACTGTATGTGAATGCAATTTAAGGTCGGACTGAATTATAACACAAGATATTTGTGATCGTTAACGAAAGTTAATTCAGAACAAAGGATATTGTAGGTGAAATGAAACGGGATCGATCGGCGGGAAATAGGTAAAATAACTAAGTTGTTAGGGTTTAGTTGCATGCCATTTTTCATACGCCAAGAAACAATACTATCAAGATCATTCTGGAGTAGAAAAGCTTCTTCTGCTGATTTAACAGGCCTAAAATGACAGCGTACACATAGAAGAATGTCTGAGGTGATAAAACACATTGCAAATCATTTGGAAAAAGGATGAAAAGAAGGGGACCGAGTATGGATCCCTGTGGTACTCCTGAGACAACTTGGATTGGCTCAGGAATACTTCCACAGTAGACAACACTCTGTAACCGATTATTTAAAAAATCCCACCACTGATGGCGCCATCGATACCCATTTGTTTGATTTTATTCAGAATTAAATGATGAGGGACTTTATCGAAAGCCTGTGACCAACCGAGAAAGATGGTATGTATGTCAGGATGTCAGTTAACATCCAGTGTCCTGACCCATTCGTCAAATATCTTAAGAGTCTATTGCATGAAAATCTCGGTCGAAAACCAAATTGCTGTGAGGACAAAATTGAATGAGATGTGCAGAAAAAATGATGTGAAGAATTCTTTCTTTCCATTCACCCGTAGGCAGGATTTTTGGGGGGTTTAAAATTTTCCAAAAAAGGGCATTTTGAGTCCTTACCCACCTCAGCTGGAGTAAATGTTAAAGCTATAACACCTAAGATGTTCGGAAATGGCAATAAAAATGCAAAATTTCAAATATTTGGAGTTAATTTCAACAACCTCCATTGAAATGGTACATTTTAACAATTTAAAAGGGAATTTCTGGAAAAGGGGGGTTCTTTCGAACCCATTGACTACGGGCTTGGATACCATTTTAATTCTCTGTGCGTTACGTAGACACTTTGTGTTCTGGCAGGGTTCCAAGGGGGTCTAACCTGTAGATTTTAACAACATAATTATTATAATATTTTATGTACAGTTTATAAATTTACATGTATTGAGTTTTATTACTAGGAATTTTTAACCTTAATTTTTTAATTGTTTTAATTTTTAGGCTTGATTAACCTTCACATTTGTGAAGAAATAAATAGGCCTATAGAAAGAAATAAGCACAACAATTATGACTACAACATAGACTGGAATTAATGATCAGGTACAAATAATGTAATGAGTTCTTTGTATCCCAATATGAGAAAAATTAAGAATCCACACTGTTTAAACCTTCTAATGGATACTTGTGTTGTCTTACAGATGTCAAGTGTTACACCACCTCTCACCGATGGGTGCATTAAGACGGATTCAAATAGAGTACGACTTCAATTTCGCAGTACTTTTAACATGAACTTAAGATATGCCTTGATAGATGACGCAACAGACGAACATGCAAAAGAGTCTGTAGCATGTATTACAAATAAGAATCATTCAACGTTGTTGGTTCGTCTTCCACGAGCTGGATCGTACAGAGTTGTAATTTTCGGTGAGCCCGTAAATTTGTCAGAGCGTTCAAAGAAAATGATCGAAAATACGTTGTTGAGCTTTAAAGTACACACGACATGCATCACAGGTTCGCAGCCATTTCCTGAATTCACTAGTCTCTTAGGATCACTTCCTGCTTTCACAGATGCTGGGTTTAGATCCTCTGTCAACTTCCCTATCATTGAAACAGGAGATGGGTATGCTAGGTTTACAGTTCACAGACCAGGAGGAGAGCCAATACGATTCAAATTTAGGGACGCAAATGGAACTGAACTTGGTGAGTACATATTTGGAGATACCTATCCAGAAAAAGTCGTCTTTAATATTAGATGTCCGAAGAAGGGGGAATATTCGTTGATACTTTTTGCCAGATTTAACGATGATCTTGTTGATAAAAATAAATTTAAGCCAGGTGCAACATATCTGATACTGAACAAGAATAAGCGAGGAACACCCATACTACCATACCCCTCTAAAGTCCAATGGGGACCAACTGACAACTTGTCAAATTTCAACATATCGTTACAGCCCCAAAAAGGCGCTGAAATAACGTGCAATAAAGAAGAGGCCACTTTCGAACTAGGCCTAAGTTCCAATGAACAGATCAATATTTCTTACAAATTTAATACCAAGGAAGATAAAGCAATAACAAGTAGGTGGGTTTGTGCCGAAACCAACTGGCGTGAAAAGGATGTGATTTTGCGATTTCGATTTCGTGTACCCGTCTCTGGATTTCACGAATTTAATATATTTGCGGGAAAAGGTGGAGCGAAATCTAATGATTTGATAGGATGTTGGTTAATTAACGTTGTTAATCCGTTTGAGGGAGACTTATTCATTGGCAGTACAAATGTACCATGGGGACCTAACGTTGCCAAAATGAAGGCAAATGATTTACAAGTTCTATCACCAACATCTTCTACAATTTACTCAAGTGAAAAAGAGTCCACGTTGATTATCGCATCGAAGATGAAAAGGCGTACAGGAATTATTTTCAATCTGAAAAATGATTCAGGTAATGATATGTACGAATACGTTTTAGCAGATTCTGTTAAACAAAATGACGAAACGGTTTTATACAAAATTCGATTTCATCCACCAGAGTCGGGATTTTACAGTTTTGATCTATTTTGTGTAAGTGGCGGTCATCTAGGTAGTTGGATGATAGATGTTCGGAAATCGAAAAAACTGGAACTTCCATCGAATGATAAAAGACCCTGGGGTCCTGTACAAAACTTCTATGACTATGGATTCTTGGTAGTAGAGCCAGAGTCGGCCATTCTTACCACTAATTTGTCAACTGAGTCAAAATTAACTATTGCTACAGATCAAGGGAAAATACTTGGAAAGTTACATTTCCAGGATCAAGAGGATAATTTAAAGGATTGCTTTGATATTGAATATTTCACAAATGATGAGAAATTGAAGAAAATTGTTATAACGTTCAAGTTACCCCAGAAAGGCTATTATAAATTCAGTTTATATGTATCAAGTTCAGGGCAGGGGACGTTTGATTACGGTGGAGGTTGGCTGTTACATTGTGTATGAGAAAATCCCCGATCACGTTCATCGCCAATGACATACCAAGTAAAACAGTAGTGTGTGTGTGTGTGTGTGGGTGGGTGCGCGCACATGAGTGCCAACGAAAATTGCTTGTAGGCCCTAATTACCACATTATGTTGTCTGTGTATATGTATTCTATACTGACCAACCGCTCAAAGTTATCAGTAAATTAACTATTTTGAGTGTTTCATTCACAGTATAGGGACCTCCCTTAGAAGGACCACATGTCTATAATATCTAATACTTAAGGCTAAAATATCAAGATTTATTAGAAAGGTTTTGAAAAACTCATTAAATTATCTTCTTGATTCCTTCATTTTTCATGTGACGGATGAAATAAGTTCTAGTTGTATTTGACATGTATGCATAAGAAATTTAATCTGAAATTGAACTTCATTCTTCAGATTATTGATTTTATATTGTATTTGTCAGGACCAATTGCCAAACATATTTATGCTTTACTCATATTGCGTACATTTGGCATAACTTACTTATCGATTATAAAGGCATTACAATTTATAATTTAAATTTAATATTTTTATATGCTTAATTACTAAAGACTAGACTTTTTGATGCTCATAACTTTGATGCAATTTGAAAATATTCTTATACGAGATGATTGATAGTACTGTACTATATATATTATATCCATGTTACCTTGTTTTGAAGGTACTCTCCTTAAAAGTAATTCACTTTAGTTTTAGGTTATCCCCAGCCACTCTTGCCTAATGTTACGATGGCAAAATAAAGTATTAGAACATAATTTACTGAAATTAAACTTCCGTTTACAAACAATAAATACACATTGAGACTTGTCTCATCAGAATAATGATTATTTTATTTAAAAGTGATTTTATATATATGTTTTAAAATGACATTATCCTGTACAGAAAAAACAAATTGTAAAATTGTTCTTTTCAGAACGTTAGTATTTCCCATCTAAACAAGTAGTGTATACTGTCCTACATATTTACTAATTATTATTATCATGTTACTCCAATTTTGATATATTGTATGTACTACATAATGGTGCTTTTTAAAAAAGTGGATGGGATGGTCTCCTGGTGGACTGAGCAAATCAAATAATAATAATAATAATAATGATGATGGTCGATTAAATCCGGGCACTCCTGCGCACAACGGTCATCGGCCGACGCGATTCTATGCAGAACGCAACAACACTTTTTTTTATTAATGATCTGTTCAGAGTGCGAAGTTCGTACCATGGAGGTATAAAAACATGGTGGTACGATGCAGTAATAATAATAATGCCATCTTATTAGGCGCACATATCCATCTCTTGGTAGAGCTGCTCGCGGCGCCATTTTCCACCTGCAGAGTGTACATGTAGCCTTTTTTCTGCATTATTATTTTGAATTAATTAATTTTATTTAA